TCCTCCCATGGGTGAAGCGTGGAACTCCCTGAAAAGGTTCCAAGCCTCCTCTTTGGTCTTTGTTGCCTGCCTGCGATGTAAGGCTCCAAAGAAGAGGTTTCCAGCTTCACAAAGAAAAATTCACTTATTATATCATTAGCACAGAAAATGTTTAAAATATCAAAGCCTTACCATGGATGCTGAATTTAGAGGCAAATTTCCTCAGCGTTTGCCTTTGCCCTTTGCTAGATTCCGGAGGATAGGAACCTTCAGACACAAGGTTGAAGATCTCTTCCCACTTGCTCTCCATGTTTGCTATAAATGCCCCCCCCCCCCAGAAATATATATCAAATAAGCATTTTAACAAGAATGTCTTGAGGATTTTATACAAATTAACTTAGAAATGCTATTTCTAACAATTTCGTATTTTAAGCATGTGCAGTCCCTGGAAAATTACAGGATATAAGCAAATAAAATACGTGGCAAAATTGTACAGCAATTTGATCATGGATTGAACTGTTCCTTTAATCCCAACATTGAACAAGATTATAATTACTTTTTTTAGGTGGCAACTACAACCTTGCTAGTAGTAAGCATCATGCTTACGTTTGATTCACTTCAATTAATCTGTATTCAAGATGACGTAATGTGCAACCATGTTCGCGCATGCGTAAGACTATGGGTATGCTGGTCTGATGGGGTATGCTGACCTGAAAGAATACTGACTTGATTCTGTACTTTGCTGGTTTGTTAGGCATGAATTGTCTGAAGGGACAGCGTCCTGAGAGACAAGGAAGGGGGATGGAGACAGAGAGGAAGCAATTGTGATCTTTTTTTCACACCTCTGTGTGAACTGGTCTTTGGTTTGTAGTGTCACATACTTTGCCAGGTGACCTGCATGAGAAAGGTTTCCTAACGCCTTATAAATAATATAAATACATTTCAGTAAATATGAGGTAACTACTTTTTGGAATATGGCCTATCACACTGGGTTCTGAAATATAACTGCTGTGATGGACAAAGGATCACTGAAAACACCTGAAGAACCATTTAATTTTTCCCTTTTCTTAGTTTGATTCCATTAAGGAATTATGTCCAAACAATAACCAAATTACATAAGATTTAAAAAGACCGGGACTTACTTTCACTGCATTCATTTTTTTAACTTTATTTATTTACAGTATTACATGTCCACACACAGCCTTTTATTTTGTGTGAGTCTGAACCTGTTTTACCCCTTGTGTCATGATTCCAAGGTACATGCATGTATTTTTGTCATTTTTCTGGAGACTACCACGTTTAGATTAGTGGTAATGCAGATCACCGGCAGAGGCCTTTAAGGAGCTGGCTGTGGTTCAGTACTTGCCTGAGTGTCAACCTAAGCAGTACCTCAAGCTGCACATATTTTTTGCCACCCTCCCTGGAAGCCAACTACCAGCTCACCAATTCATTGCTAAACTG